CGTTAGTTTTTGTTTTAGTTTTATTTTTGCAAAATACAAAAGCAAAATTTCATACCAACAAAATATGAACAAAAAAAATTACTCTTAATTGAATAAATTTTCCTTTCGAATGAACATTTGACACGCAAAGATTAAGGAAAATTTTGCTTAACGCTTACAAAATCGCATGTATTCTTTGCCAAAAAAAAAAACCATTTTTAAGTGTTTTTTTTTTCTTAAAATTTAATATTGTTTTTTTTTATATATAAAGTTAATGTATTTAATTGTGGTTAAGTTGTGGAAATTTTGCAAGTAAAAGTTTTAATGAACATTATATGTAATTAAACCAATTTCGTTTTAATTTTTTATTTTTCTTCTAATTTATTTTTATTTTGAGAAAAAATATTTGGATTCTTATATTTTTAAAATATAAAAATAAGTTTTTATTAGCTCGCAAAATAATTATATTTCTTAGAAAATCTTTTCATCTTCGTTGTTGCTTGTCCATGATTGAATATTGTTTATTTTCTTTTTCTCAAAGGTATTTTTTTAAATGTATACTCATTTTTACAAATTTTATTATTTTTCTATTTAATACATTTTTTAGATATGAGTATCAGCATATTCAATATTATTCCGAATAGTTAAACCAACAAAACGTATTATGTAAAATTTTTTTTTTAATTTACACAATTTAAATGGTTATATTATTTTTATTTAAATGATAAATATTATAAAATATAATATTATTATTATTATATTTTTTTTTTTTGAATTCACACAATTTAAATGGTAATAATATTTTTCTTCTTGTCTTTCACTGTTGCTAGTAAACTTCTCTCTACCAAAATCCTTGAGACCAGTAAGCACAACGTGGAAGTGTTCATTATACAATTTAAAAACTTGTTTTGAATTCACTATATTTTACTTCGAATTGTGTAGTATGTATTTTAAAAATATACAGAAACTCATAATGGAGAAAATCGGCTTTATTCTTTAATGTTATTATTGTAAACATATGCTTGCATTTGTTTGTTGGCTTTCATTAAAGGAATAATCTTCTATAAGATGCAATTACCATGTTCAAATCATACTGTTCGCAGAAGCAAATCAGATTTATCTGGATTAATATCTGTCTTTATAGGGCATTGAACCAAGGGATGACTTGAAGCTAGACTTTGCCAACATTCTAGCATTTTCTGCAGCGCATGTCTACCAATTCTCGAAAAAAGGACACCAGAATACCTGTTGTGTCTGTGTCCAGGCCTGGCCAGAACTAGGCTTTGGTTCTAAGGGGCCCCCTTCTTTAACACACTCAACGATATCTCCAGTAATAGCTGGTTATAGTTTATCCTTTTCTTTTCTATCCATTATTTCGAGGATTTGTGGATTCAAAACGGCTTTCTTAGCTAATTGTGGAGGATTCGTTCCTGCCTCCACTTCAATTAACTACGTTTATGTTAGAAATTTTTTAAAACCTTAGTGTTGACAGAACAGAGGTTCACCTTCTGCCTTAAGTAAGACATAGGCGCCCTTTTGATGACAAATAAGTTGTAACTATATTTTTAGTTTCCGATGAACTTCTGCACAAGTAGTTTACTATAAATAAAATTGAAATAGTTTTTTTTTTGAATAAATTTACTACTACTTGAACTAATTTTGTTTAAATATGTTTATTTAAAAAATAAAATATATCCCATTAAGAATTAAATTATTCTCAACGGCGCCACTAATATATCTTAATGTAACTCTTGTTCTAAATTTTCAACAGAGAATATATAATTTTTTTTTACAAATTAGTAATTTTTGTCACAAAATGCAATATATCGCAATATCTCATACCATTGTTTATTTTATACTGGGACAAGTTCATAAATATTTATTATTGTTTAACATTCAATTGTGACTCATTGACGCACTTGAATAACACATTTTAGTGATCTTAAGAGACCACACAGGCCTGCACTTCCCATTACTCGTCGTCTGCCGTTTGTCGTTGGTTAGGTAAGTCGGTTGCATGTGCATGTACTCGTCATATCTGATGTTGTCAGTGCGCGTAACTAATATTTTTAGTTCCTGAAATGCGTAAATGTTGAACCTTTAACCAGATTTTTTCTAAGAAGAAGAGACAAAAGGTTTATTGTGCTGACGCACTCTTATCAACGCACAACATTTTTTACATGGAAACTTGAATAACAACCATAATGTATCTATCTTAATAATAAAACAATAAAAAGAATTAATATAAAGGAAATTAAGAAAAATTACGTGAATTACAACTACAAAATGACTAACTAAAATTCTTGTTTTTGTTTTCGTTTTTTGTACTATATGAACAACAAACAATAAATAATTCAACTAAAAAAGGCAATTAATTAGAAGAGTTAGAAGGTAGTAATGCATGGAGCAGCACATACACGTAGAACTTCAAGACCATAGGTCTTTGTACAGAAAAGTGGGAAAAATGAAAAATTATTGTCCACTTCGCTTAACAATCTTGTTGAAGCTTTTATTTCTTTATTTGAACATGTTTTTCAACAACAAACATTACAACATCAAGCGTAAAAGTGCGCAGAGAATTGCCTTGAATTCTT